TGTCCTTTAATTCAATTTTCTGTGCCATGAACTATGGTGTATATATCACATGTCGTAACATGTGGCATAGTAAGGAGAATCTCACTGCCACGCACACGCTTTGCTCCAAACCATTATTCTTCTACCTAATCCTATCCATTTAATAGTACAACAAGTCAAAAAATAATTTGTCATCCAAAATTTTAATTATCTCCTTAATCTATTAATTTACTAATACACCCTAGATTAGTAATTAGTTTCCCAAATTAAGAATTTTGGATGTTGTATTAGATAAGAGCTTCATCCAACAAAGTGTATCTCTGTAGGGATCACCTATGTTGTTTATGAAAAAAAATAGTAGTATGAGACTCTACATTGACTACAGATGGTTGAATAAGGTAACTATAAAGAACAAATACATGTTGTCAAGGATTGATAATCTTCTGGATCAATTGATAAGGGCTTTAGTATTTTCTAAGATTGATCTGTGATCAAGCTACTATAAATTACAAGTTAGAGTTGAGGATGCACTGAAAATTATTTTAGCACTAGAATGATCATTATGAGTTTCTCATGCGCCATAGGGAAAGGAGCAGTTTGGACTGTGTCCAAATTGCCCTCTTACCATGCCTCTATAGTTGCAATAGTAATGATTTAACCCTTTGTGCTCAAATGCTTTCTAAATAGGGTTTTTCTTAGGATCCTAACTTTTGATACCTTTGAACTTTAATCCTTGTATATCATGATAACCTAATATAAAGATTTATTTAATCCTGATCATCACGATAGTAATGAGTGGTGTGCTTTGGTAAAGTCAAAGTAGGCAATACACAAATCACCATTTGCAAAATGACAAGGCTAGTTAATTACCTCTTAAAATCAATACTAAATTGAACCCTTAATGTAGCTAGAGACCAACCTAGGTCATCTCCCAATAAGCTAAACCAAGTTCTTTATAGGTTATTTCAAGTGGTATAAATTAGCAAAGTGAATGATTGAATTATATATCTAAAGGACAAAGTAACAAAACTATAAATAGAAACTAAAGCTTGAATAGTGAATGTAATTCCCTTATGAGTTCAAATGGAACCCTAGAGTTTAGATGTGTGGAAGAATCCTCATCCCAAGTTGTTTATGGCATTTCTTATGAACATCTTACCTTAAAAAAAAATCCTTATATTTTTGCATCTTGAATAACTATCATTCTCTCTTTTTTGTAATTCCCTTCAGTCCTATCTATAAGTTAGTTCCAACATGTGCCATCAGAATTAAGAAAAATCTTAAACTTTATTAACTATTTCTTAAAATTTAAAAAGTTTTTGCCTTTACCCGTAATAAGGGGGAAAAGATTATTTTTAATAATTTTCCTAGCACATTTAATAATGGTAGAAAAGTAAAGATGAACATAAAAAATAGTGAAATGTCCTATAAATAGGATCAAAATTAATCTTCTCTCTCTATCCTATAAAAAAAACTAGGGAGTAAGCCTCAAAAAGAAAAATTAATGATAGCAAAGTTCTCAAAAAAATTTTGAAATATAAATTGCAAATGTGAATTAAAATAGCTGTAAATTCAAGTGTTAATTGTAACACTTACCCCAAGTGTTATCCAAAAATTACACAATTCAAACAAACTAAGTGTGGTTAAGGAGTTGATCCTAAAACCAACTTAAGAAACAAATCATTTAAATCAATAAACAAATACACCATCGCAAAATAAACATTCAAAGCCTTTAGAAAAATTTATAAATTCTACCTATAGCGCACGGAAGCAAGCTAGACGTAAGTGGGATAAAAAGATGCTGTCATGACAGCATTAAATTGATGCCATGACAGCCCTCCAAGGCGAACTTTCGAGAGGCATCGTTTTGCCATTCAACCTCCAATCAAAGTGATTTTAATTCTCACGCATCATTTTTAATGATTACTAATAGTATACTAAATTAGAAAATGATCTAACAGCCGGATTAGAATTTGGACACTCTACAAGATTGGATAAAGTTGTTGTCATAACAGCACTTCTGAACCAAATTTTAGAGTGCACAATTTTATCATCTGAACTCCGATCAGAGCAATTTCAGAGCCCACATGTCACTTTTAAATAGTACTATTAGAATACCAAATTTTGAAAAGATCCAATAGACGGATTGAAATTCATGTATGTTGCAAATTCAGCCACTTTACTGTCATGACAGCATTAAATAGCTATCATGACAGCACCTCCAGACTAACTTCTGGAGTGCACCGTTTTTTTGTATGATGTTCGATCAAAGTAATTCCAAAGCCCACATAAATATTATAAAAATTTTTACTTGTGACCCAAATTTCAGGAAAATCCAACGGTCAGATTGAAATTTGGATACCCAGATGCAAAAGTGCAACTTTTTAGTAAAAATTATTTTTCAAATTGTGCAAATCTCATCTTAATGGTCACAAACCTGTTTGAATACTTTGGACACATCAAATAGGACTAAGATTACCTGATAAAACATTTAAATGATGAAAAAATTCCTTATATCAAAATTTGACCACCTAAGTGCCATTTCCCAAAATGGACCCTATACCCCTAAAATTTACAAATCACACAAGAGTGGCCAAAAACTATTCCAAATATCACATACACATATGAATACACACGCTAAATATCTATGGGGCCCACACACCCATTCTCTCTATCCAAAGTGTATGTTTGCCTATAGAACAATATTTGCAATGCAACCACCTTACAGCTTGTAGAATCACATATATACTAAAATAAATATTTGCTTGTAGTAGAAACTTGGTCTATTAAATAAATCCATCAAAATCACACACCATAATCAAGTTTCCTTGCCACAAGTCTACAAGCAAACAAAAATTCATACACAAGCCATACAATCTACACATGCTCACACACATATATACATAATCACATCCTACTGGTACCCTAATCCTAAATACATTATAATAGATTTGCTCAAAAGAAAGGAGTTGCAGTTCTTTACAATCCACAAATAACCCCTAGCTCTGCTCCTTTTCCTGTCTACCACTAGTTCCTTCACCTGAACCTAAAAATATTAAAAAGAAAGGGTGAGACAACTACAGTCTTAATAACAGAGAAATCTACATTAATTATTACAAAGTAAGTCATAATCGAATAAACGAATAATAGATTTAACATACTAAATAATTTAGCCATTTCAAATGCATAAATGCATAACATAGGCCAATATGGCCTTTCTTAACAAACAAAGTGTCCCCTGGTACTCTTTAGCTTATAGGTAAACCTCATACCCACTTGTACCTCCACAAGCACAAAACATAATCTAAGGCATGATCAAATCTACCTAATCGCATGTGTTCCTTCGACATGAATCCTGAGCAGCCAAAGCTAACTCGTTCCCAGAGCAAACCTGACTTACTCTTCATGTGAGGGCTACCTTGGCCTAGGCACTCAACCTCACACTTCATATGTTGGATTCCTTCTCCCACTGAGAGATGTCGAACACTCAATTCACTAACCACTTTAGTGCACTAAGCCCACAATACGAAAGGCAACACTGAGTACTAGCAGTGTGTCATAAAATATCACAAGTCCATACCTCCCCATTGGTGAACTCCCACCGATATCATGCCTTTCACTCTTATCTACCTTTTTTGAGTATTGACCATTTCAACACTTTAAGGTAGTATAACAAATATCACTTCTCCCTTTAAGCGGTTCCTTAGCCTCTCTAGGGTACTTAACCAATTACACTTCCTTAAGGGCAACTTCCATTCTCTACAATTACAATGCATGCAAACAACCTCGTTTCTATAAAAACAATATTGTTAAATGAATAGAAAAGATCTATGCACTATTATCCAAGTAATTCCCCATAAGTCTTTATAAAATACAATTAATTGCATTTAATCATTTAAAACATGTAATGCATGATAGCTAGTAATATTTATTCAAAAAAAGCTAAACAAAGCAATAAAAAATATAAATTCCCCTGATACCTCAACCCTTTGTACCAAAAGGATTTTTTCTTGTACAGAATAAAACTTAGCTTGTTTTTATCCTCTAATTAAGTTCCCCCAATAATTTTCTATGTGTAGTCGAGCTCGTAACAATCACAAAACTTTCTAAATCCAAGCCTAACTCTCTTTCTTTCTCCTCTCTTCTTCTCACGGTTCTTTCCTTTGGTTTCTTGTTTCATTTCTGCGTGAATCTGCTCTCAAAAAACTGATCCAAACACTTTGGAGAAAATTATAAGGAATGGCTCAACATTTTTTATTATAACACAAAAACTCGAATCAACTTTGGTAATTTTCTATAGTTAAAAATAAAATAAAACTAAACTTTTGTTTGGGTAAAATTCCAACTCTGAACCTTATTAAATTATTCTTAATTTTAATTACCTCTATCAAATTATTCTTAATTTTAACTTAATTATAGATATTTTATTTCATTTTTTTTAAAATAAATTCGAGTCTTAAAATTTTTAAAATATTACATCAATTATAAGACATTTGAATTTTAAATGCAACTCTCAATTTGCAATTACAATTTTGTTTGAATCAATATTAACAAATTATTTTTAAAAGAATTGTCGAAAACTTAAATATCATTAATCTCCTCTTCTACAACTTAATTGTCACTCCCCAAAATAATCAGGTATCCAGATTGCGTCGTACCAAACTTCTCCCTATAAATTTTTTTTTTTTTTTTGAAATATTTCATACTATAAGATGTTTTGAGAAAATTGATAGCCTATTAATAGAACTTATTCTATAAAAAAAAGACTAAAATTACAAATTACATCTAATTCACTTTATTAACATCCACAATTTTATCCTAGCATCTGATAAATTACAACGTCTTGTGACGTAGGGAAGTACCATTTCTTATTCCAATTAGTGCTGTTGATGCTTCTAGAGACAGCACATGAACATGAAGGGCCGACAAAGCGCACATAAGCGTTATAATCATAAGGCACCCTTCAATTCCCATGTGGAAAGGGTGGCATTTACAAGCTGTATCATATCATGCAACCAAACTCGTTCTTCAACAACAGAATATACATTTATAATAATTGTGCTTTCTTCACAAGCAAATTTTTTTACTTAAACAAAAGAATCTTATAATATACATACATTCATGCATACATGCCTCCTGAATATAATGAAACCAATAAATATTGTACACAGCCCAGCTGAAATGTGCCATGGTGTCTAACGATAAATAAACAAACAGAACCATTAAACTGATGGAGAGGAAGGGAGGGAGGGAGGGAGGATAATTACAGAGAGAACGGGACTGTTTCCACTTTTCCCCCATAACCTTCTAAGGGGCAAAGCAGAAGGCACATAAAATGAACATGAAAGATGGGGAAAAGACAAGCAAGAATTGTCCAGAGGAGGTAGGAAGAGGATGACCCATTGACCATTATAGAAGTCAAGTGTTCGTTGCTGGAGCCTCCTTCATGGCAACAAGTTTGTTCACGTGTTTGGGCCTCCACTCAGTCCTTCCCCTCACAATCTCAGCACCATCCTCGAGTCGAAGATAATGCTTGCACTCAATGTCCCCACTGTGAGCTAACTCGCCGGCATCTGCACCGGAGACAGCAGTGAGGGATTCGAGGACACTGTCTCTACCGCACTCCCTTCGATACTCCAAAGACATGGCAGAAAGCTCATGAGTCTCCAGGATCCGCTGTGGAGCACTCTGCAGGAATCATAAAATCATCCTCAGGTTGAAAGTGCCCAAAATTTTGATCCCCAATAAAATAAGCGACATGAACTATTGAACCAGTTCTATAAGTGATCAAATTGCTTCCATGAGGCATCAAATATGCACATTAACTCATCGCTCTGTCATCAAAACATTTTGAAAGCACATATTACATGCAAAAAGCATCAACAAACAAGCTGGTGCAGTCACCTAACAGGATTGTAATTTGTTACTTAACTGCCTGACCTGTGGGATTAGGAAGTTAAATCTTCAAAATGCCTTGTTCGAGTCAAACAAACCAAAGTAATAAGTTTTTAATTGGCCTGACACAGTTATGATCACTAAAACTTATGGTAAACATCGCTACAAGAGATGCACTACAAGCAACAAACGAGAAAGAGATACAAGGATGAGAGCTGGAAAGAAAAGCACATAATATTACCTCCAGGATCCAGCCAATGTACTTCACATTGTTAACATGCTGATTGACATCTAAATCACTCCATCGAGGCTGATAACAAAGATAATCAGCATATAGCATTAGTATAAAACCTAATATTGGTCATTTTCAAAAATAATTTTGATGATAAAGGCTTCAACAAACTTGACTTACAGTCAAACCAGTTCGAATATAATCTGCCATGTTGTCATCAAGCTTAGATAGCTTTCTGTTATCCTCTTCCAAAACTGGATCAGAATTCACAAAATAAGTCCCAATCTCCCCTTTGACCTCTTCCGGAATTTTAGATAGCCTTCTTGTCAGTTTATTCATCATAACCCAAACACTGTATTGTCAAAGCCAAAACCAACAGATGAGAAACATTTAGTTACTGTCTATCTTCAGAATGCAGTAACAATACAAGCTAAAGGCTTGTACTATACCATGAACAACCAAGATATAAAGACTGTTGGTAGGATCAGAGAGCCTCATATATAAGAAGTTCAAAACTAATACGCGCAAAACAATTCATTGTATTTGTTACAATGCTAGATGCATGATAAATGCCATAAGAATATTTTATATTTTAGTTATGAAAAATCATAAACGCGCAATCAGACAAAGCAACAGAGACCATAGCTTCATAAAAAGATAGCGAAATTCTGCACAATGCCCAATTGCCAGTCGTGCACATACAAGACATGTCATTTTAGACGGCAGGAGGAAGGAGGAAAGGAAGATTTCTGAAAGGTTTCTACCTGGAAGCTCTGGTCAGTATTTCTCCAGCATTGCAGTCACGCACAAGCCAATCACGCCGCAAACCATTCTTTCCAGATGCAGAAACCCAAGTGTCTACTTGAACAACATCACCCCTTAAAAAAATTAACACAACTTGATCATCAGTTTCACAATCCTCCCATAATTATCCTAACTAATGGCCATTCAAGCATGCCATATTAATTGAAATATCTGTTTTGTCCTAACATTCAAGATTATGGCCATATGGTATGCAAGTTGTGAACAAAATTAACACCAAAAACCAGGAGCAGGAGTTGTATGATTACAATTTCCACCAGGTTCTTCAACTTGATCAAAACCCAATTTGGAACTGGGATGATATAGTAAATTTATTAGCCTTTGTCCTATATATAGAGACTATAAACTTTTGTAAATTAGAGCCTCTTACAAGGAGAAGAATACATTCTCTTTTTCTCTGATCAATTGACAAGTTCTGAAACAGAATGTCAAGTAGCCATTGTACACGATGCTTCAACTAGATTTTTCACAAGTCTGTATATGCACTAAGCTTTTTACCATAATACTAGATTAGGTTCAATAACTAGCTTGCAATTTATACTACATTGCATTTCACATCAAGATTTACAACACTTACACTTGGGGCTTCCAACAGTGCAAGTGTGCCATAACTCTTATGCTTCTCATTTCTATGATCTCCCAAAGGAATTTCACAAGTACTATTGGATTCAAAGTTAATCTCAATTTTCAAGCCAATCTGTGGAACCAGATATATAATTCACCCCAAATAAAAATGCAGTTCTAAAATTCAGTCAGAAATTTAAGGGGTACCAATCACTGTAAAGATCACAGAAATAAAAGACAGAACGGATTACATAGATAATCAGCTGATACCTGGGCAAATCACATAAATTAAGGGTGAGACTAGGTGAATTACCATGTAGGATAGCGATCAACTGCGACCTGCATCTTAGCAACTACCCATATTAGGTTTTTCTTGCACATTTCAGGCGTAGAACCAAAGCCATCACCAAGAAGCCCAACAGTCTTTACATGATTAAGTGCAGTTTCCTGTTGCGCAAAAAACAATTAAGTGAGATCATCTCATCTGGAAATTATCATACAGTCAAAGTCACTTCAAATGCAATTTAAAGGCTTTTTTAATAGAAGCATACCTGCAGATGGTTCATCAATGTCTCTATAGATGCAGTTCGGTCAGCACCTATTTCATATGATCTGATGGAAAAGTTCTGACGGAACACAAGACCATCCTGAACAATTCTTCCTATTCCAAAGGGATCATAAGCCATGTCAGGTCGCCTTGGTTTCCAATCAAGCATCATCCACTGCTTCTCTGCAGCCAAGAAAACTGTTGTGATGGCAGCAAGAAGCATACTCCAATCAGGTAACTGGTTGATGAATGTCCTTGGAGCAGGCGATGGCAAATCATCCTCACGCTTTGTGCCTTCGAAAGATGTAGTAACCGTGGATCCATTGACCTTGGTAGGGGCTTGGGCATTTGCCTTAACTTGCAATCCACCATGAGTTGTGGATTTTGATTTGAGTCCTCCCAGGTTCACAGGCCCGCCACCAAGCTTGGCTGCCTTCGCACCTGAGTCCGATGATGGTGGAGTAACAGGAAAGAATGACGACGTAGCAGCAGTTGCCACCATAATGAATTCTACGGCTGCATGCACATCAAATTGAGTTTTGAAATATATGCGCGCGCGTATATAACACATTAGTTCTGTTCCTCGCCCAAGGAAAGGTGGAAAGGAAGAAAAAGTGGTAAATGAACTAAGGCAAAAAAATCCATATAACATGCGGGCACGGAAGAAAAACATTTAGAGAAAAAAAAAAAGAAAAAAGAATATGACAACAGATTTTTTGGTAAATAACCGAATGAAACGAAATCAGGCTAATGTTTAACATCATATAAAGAGAACAAGCACCAATCCAGCCTAGAAGCCATGGGAAACTTTCTCCTCAAACTTTTCCAGAATTGATTCCCGGGAGCCTCTCTTTTATTTTTATTTTCCTATTAGAAGTTTCTAATTAGTTGTCATCCTCAAACTGCGTGGAGAATCGAAGAGCTAACATGCATCTTACTTTTATCGCCCACTCCTGCACTTCACTTTCAGTCCTCTCTAATGTCACTCCAGAAGGAATCGAATAAAAAAGGTTATATCGAACCCAATCCCCAAATAAACAGTGTCCTATTGTAAAGAATATCGATTCTGAGTTTACAAATCAAGGAATACAGACAAGATAACTTGACTACTGCCGATATGGGAAATTCATTTTCTTGAGGAGATTCCGACGCAAAAGGCCAAGAATACTGGGAATTTCTTAATAAAAAGACGAAAATAATCAATTAATAAACACACAGATACTTAACACGAAATCACCAACAAAAATCGATGTAGATCTGACTTTGGATCAGAAAACATCAGAAGCGAATTGTACTCTGCGAGGCTTTAGCCCTTTTCAACAGAGCCTAAAGGAAAAACAAGGAATCAAACACAGAAGATGGAATCTCATACACATTGCAACATGAACCAAAAGCTTCAACCCCTTGCATCCAAATCCGCAGACAAACCAAACCTCACTTAGTTTCACAAATGGGGAAAAATCACAAGCCTCAGTGCCGCTTTACGCAACAGAGAAATGCTTAAAGAAAAGGGACGAAAAAAAAATAAACAAGGAAAGAAAGACGTTGTCCTAATTTCTTAAGAAAGACGTTGTCGTAATTTCTTAGACCTCGATCTTCCATTATGCAGGAAAACAACGGAAATCAGAACAAGGTTCTGAAACAACAAACACCATACCAGACAAGAAAGCAAGAAAGAACCTCACAGCTAGATCAGACGAGAAAATGGGGCAGTGAAGTAAAGGCAAGGAAAAAAGGAAAACAACACAAAAGAAGAAACCCATACCTTACTCAACCCCGACGCTGAGAGAAACACAGAAGGTCACCCAAAAGAAGACGAAATCAAATTTGAAAAGAAAACGAAGGAAAGAAGAAATGAAGAAACAAAAGGGCTAATGCGTCATTGTAAAATCTGTCAATTCCTTCCCTTTCTCCTTCCTCGTGTCCAACCCCCCGAAGATTATCTACTCACTACTCTGCTAATTCAGTTTCAAACTTTTAAAGAGAGAGAGAGCGATGTTGGGGCCAGCGTATGGAAAGACGGGTCGATAGTATCATCGACGTGTGACCTGTCCCTCCCGCCTCTGGTTCAAAGTCTTCAACATGTCATTGTTCTTCTCTTATTCACATTTTTATCCTCTTCTTCCATTTAGTAATATTCTATTTTTCTACTTTTAGAATAATTTTATACAAAAAATAATAAATTTAGGGAAATTAATAAATTATTTTATACTTCCCCCGGATTCTTTCCGACATCCATTTTGGTATATCTTTGAGAAACATGTGCTCCGTTACATTGATATTGTTTTTATGTTTTTTAAATTCAATAGTATAATATTCTTATTACTCTTCTAGATAGAACCTAAAAATTGTATGTTTAAGTTTTGATCTATTTTTTTTGTGAGTTTTTTGGTGTATTCGGTTGAAATACATAGGGTGTTTGAGCATTTTTTTCCCCCTTTAACTATTGGTGTTTGTGATGTGATTTTTCATATTAATAAAATTAATTGACTGGTTTTGGGGGGAAAAATAGAACCTAAAAATTAATTTTGTTTATCAAAATTATTATTCAATTTTTTTGACCAAAAAGTTATGATTTTACACACACACACACATATTATGAAGTATGAGCCAAACAATATCTGGGACTCGGGCGGCACTTTTAGAATTATTGAAATGATTTATTGCTTTCTCATACTAGTATGTGCGTGTATATATATTTATATAACACTTGTCTTTAAAAATAATTTGATTTGAAAATTATAACTTAAATTGATTTCTAACAGGCAATCTATACATGACAAAATTATCTGGTGGCATCAATTAACATAAAATTCAAAAATTAATGAAATCAAAAAATAAGACATGTTACTCCATACAAGCTAAATATATCAAATTATAACATTATTCATAAGCTAGATACATCAGGTGGACTTCCTATAATATATACGGTAGATTATGTAGATTACAATAACTTACACTTTTCCCTCATTTATTTATATTTATTTTTTACTTTTAAAATAATTAAATAAAATACTTATATATATATATATATATATATCTTAGACAACACATGGCACTTTTGAGTGATTTATTAGTTCGTAATTATACGAAACTTGTGTTATTTATTTAGAAATAATATTTAAATAATTTGTATGGTATTTCCTCCGTTCAAAAATATAAGTATTTTTAATCAAATCTCACTCCCAATAAAGTGGTTACCTATTTTTAAACTAATCCTATCTTTTTATATTTACCTCTATTAAACGCCTTATAATAAATATAAAGTCACTATCAATAGAGACACTTTTGAAAAAAAAGGTAATTATTATATCTTAAAAGACTAAAAATATCTTACATTTTTTAATATCCAACTCCTTAAAAAATTGTCTTACAATTTTTAACGGAGGAAATATAACTTATTTCCTCCATTCAAAAATGTAAGACATTTTTAGTATTTTAAAGTATAATCATTACTTTTTTTAAAAGTGTTCCCAATGAATAAATCGTTTGATATTTATTTTAGAATAAAATATCTTATTAAATATGAATAAATATAAAAAGATAGTATTAATTTGAAGACACATAATTATTTTATTAAAGGTAAGGTTTAGTTAAAATTTTTATATTTTTGAACGAATAATTTTTAACTAATGTTATGTTAAACACAACAAAACAAAATTTAATATAAGCTAAATATCTCAAATGATGACACTATCATTATTTCTGCATTGTTATAAATGCACGAAACAAATCAGTCTTAAGGGCCACTTAAATCTCATTTAGATTTTCTTCATTTATCTATTTTTGTGTATTTTTTTAAATACAGTATATCACAAAATACAGTGTATATATACACTTAGAAAATAACAATAATTTTTACAAATTAACTACATTTTTTTCCTACCACCCCATGTTGAAGGGTTGGTGAGGAAAGACAGTTTGAAATGGGAAGAAAAATATAGCGTATATATACACTTAAAAAATAAGTGGAAGAAAAAAAACATAAAAAACATAAGTGGAAAAATAAATGTCCTCTTGTTCAGATAGAAAGACAAAATTAGGGGGGGAAACTTAGTGAGAGAAAAGAGACATATGATCCTCATGTTTCGCATAGGAATTATTATCACTAGTTAAAGGTAATTTTATTTTTAAACTATAAATTTAAGAATATTTAGAATTTTAAATTTATTTTTAGTATAATATTTTTTTAACTTTTAAAAATATAATGTCATTTATACTATTAATAAAAATTAATTTGAGATTAGAAAATTACAAAAAAATTAAAAAATATAAAACAATGACAAAAAAATCATAAAATGACCAAAAAATATTCTTAGTCCTTCACTGTATTTTTGGATCAACTAATAATTAAAATTAATATTTATTAATGATAGGAGCACTATTATATCATTTCCAAAATTTAAAGAAAAACATGACCTCACAAATGAAATAAGATGCTAGACATTTCTAAACTAATAGTCTAGAGGTATATTTGTAATTTAACTCTTATTATCACGGTAAAATTAAGTAATTTTCTTGTCTATGTTGTATTCATCCAAGTATAAAAAGAACAGACTTTTTTTCCACTTTATTATACGTTTTTTTTCTTTTATTTTTCTTTTCCGCGTTGAAAGTCAATCTCAAAAGGAAGAAGAAGTAGCTTCTGGAATAAACAAGAAGGAGATTTAGGCAGGGGTAGTTCAATTAATTTTTGGAGAAAAAAATAAAAAATTAAAGGACGATGATTTCAAAGAAGCCAACGTACAAGTACCTCATGCATATTGCCTATTGGTGTAGGTTATTTATGTGGTCAATAATGATCATTTTCTTGTCCAAACCAAAACACGGCACTTCAATTCAGTATCTCTTTGTATTCCTCTCCCTCCTCAAGCAATTATTACGTTATATCAATATCAAATCCTTCAACCAAAAGTTTTATTTCTTTAAATTAAACGTGGGCCCTTAGAACAGGCGATTTCCCATATTTTATATATTTTATATTGACGAAACCTTTTCACGGATGGATTTTTTTTAAAAAAAAAAATCAATTCAAGAACGTTGAAAAAAATTTATATTAATAAAATATTATTTTTTTATCAAAACTTAAATAAATACTTATTGATTCAAATTATTTGTTTATCAATAAATATTTATTTAAATTTTAACAATAATTTATACTAAATTAACAGTAATTTATATTTTTTTTATTTAAATTTTAATAATAATTAATTTTTGAGTAATATAAATTTTCCTAGCATCCCTTCATCACTATTTTCCCAATTTTTTTAAGATTTGTTATCTTAATAATGTTACTAATGAGGTGAATGATTGGCTCTATCCTAAAAAAAAATATTAAGATCGTAATAATGCTAAATTTTTCTGAAATTTTCCAAGTGGTCCAAATTATTGGGAACAATTATTATTAGAGTAATTTAGATCAAAATATTTTTTTTTGTCATCCTTCATTTAATGAAAGAAATTTACATGCACACCGCATTTATAGATTGAACCAACTACCTCATGCTTAAAAGAAGCTTATTGGAAGTGCTTAATATCATCATACAAATGGAGTCAGGGACATGGATTTGATTATGTTAGTTGGCTTGAATAATCAATCATAAAAGTTAGGTCAAATTTAAAAAAAATTAACTCAAATAAAAATGTGTTTTTTATGGCCCAAATAATATAACCTATGAACCATGTAGGTCAACCCTAATAGGTTATGGTTGGCCCATTTGACCCATATTATTTTTTTAAAAAACAAAAAAATATAGGAAAATTTTGAGGGTATAATCCATATTGGGCATAACTTACTTAACTAAATCAATTCATGTATTTTATACAAAACATTATAGATTAATATTTTGGTGTATCTTGAATAACTTATGAAGGAATATCAAATTGAAACTTATCTTTTTGGTATGCTTTTTAATTTATGAAAAAAATAAATAGATTGATGAGTTAGCTCATTTAACTCAATAATTCTCAAGGGTTGAGTTAGGTTAAAATTTTTTCAATCTATATAAAAATGAGTTGAACTCAGAGCATATAGTTTGAGTTACCATATTCCTAACTCTACATACAAGCCCATTAGCTTGTCCCTCAATCAAAGTCATAATAATAAAAGTCTTTTCAAATTTATATCTCATTAATATCTCAATCTCAGTAATAATATTTGATTAATTAGCTACTTCTCGATATATTATAGGATTAATTAAATCTATTGAATTATGACTCTCACTCATCACAATTAAAAGCCTACTTTTAGTTTGATTAATATTCCCTTCGCTTATAAATATAAAATATTTTTAATTAAATTTCATTCTTAATAAATTAATAGTTTATTATCTTTAAATTAGTACCATATTTTAATATTTATTCGTATTTAATAGGGTATTTTAGTTAAAAATAAATATAAAATAATTTATTTATCAATGATATTTTTTAAAAAAATACATTAATTACAATTTGAAATACTAAAAATACCTTATATGTTTTAACATTCAACCTCTAAAAAAATATTTTATATTTTTTAATGAAACGAGTATAGAATTAATCCCCATTTCTAACTCAATCATTTAATTCTTGTGATGGGATTAATTATATGGATATCAGTCACAATTTTTTTAAAAACACACATACACAAAATAAGTACAAAAATTTTAATTTATATAAAATATAAGAAAATCCAAAAGTCAAGAATCAAAACCCAATCAATATGCCCAAAGCTAGCCGCAGCTAAGCAGCCATTAAAAACTCCATCAAGTCAATGGCTAAAATCAATAGCATTGGGTGTATTGATTGGATTTTGATTTGTGACTAAAAGTGAGAAAATGAATAAATTATATACACAATTATGCATATATAAACATATATAATGCACTTAATAGTGAATGGGTATGTATTCCTGCCGGCATTGCAATGTTGCTAATGGTTGACGGCTTAATTCGGTTCAGAATTATTGACAAAAAAAGTAATTAAAAAATATTGTTTCTTGAACTTTAATATAATCAATCAGACGTATTTTCTATTTA